CGTCTTGGGTCCTATCCTTTACATTCTCTTTACCGCTGATATTCCTACTCATCCCGAAACCCTCCTGGCAACATTCGCTGATGACACAGCCATCCTATCTTCCAATTCAGATCCCGAAACAGCATCCTTTAACCTACAAAGTCACCTCTCTCTTATTGAACACTGGTGTAATAAGTGGCGCATCCAAGTAAATGAATCCAAATCCAAACACACCACCTTCACCCTTCGGCGCAAGTCGTGTCCACCAGTTTATTTCAACTCCATACCACTTCCTCCTCTCCGACACAGTTCGGTATCTTGGCTTCCTTCTAGACAAAAGACTAACATGGAACCCACATACCAGACTTAAAAGACAACAGCTTAACCGACGATATGGCCAACTATATAGACTACTCAATAGAAAATCTCAACTTTCAGTTGAGAAAAAACTATTAATCTACAAGACAATCCTGAAACGTATCTGGACCTACGGCAAAACAAAAGCAAAACTTTTTAACATCAAATGCATTCAATCCTTCCAGTCTAAAGTTCTTCAAACAATAGTCGATGCTCTCTTTTATGTAACCAATAAAACCCTACACAATGACCCTAATATCCCATTTGTACTTGAACTAATCCCAGACAAATTTTCCAAATTACATCAGAATTCCACCAGACCTGCTTTGGCTTCCACAATTGGGGGACAAAGCTTGATTCAGAGTCCCCTGGGCCGATGTAAATATTGTACATAGGTGTGAATGTGTTTTATTTATTTTATTATCATTCAGCTTTAATCTATTATTTTACTTATCTTGAATATTACTTTATCTTTTTACTTATATATGTATCTTTTTTTTCTCTCTTTCCCTTCTTACTTGGTTATTTTTATTTATTTTCCTTTCTTATGTACATATTGTGTGAATGAATACTATAGGCCTAGTACCAATGCCCTTCAGTGTGGCAGACTGTATTAATACTCAATAAAATAATAAAAAAAAAAAATGGACCTTAAATTCATAATATTTATTAATACTCGAAAACATATTGATGAAACTTTGTATTGAAAAAAAAAAGGCTTAATTAATTGAGATGCAGTGGCATAATCTTGAAATGCACATTAAATATAAGATGATTTTAAATATTTAAATAAATTACAAATACTACATCTCCGATAACATATAAGTAGATCCTTATACCGAATAAGTCCAAAAAACTTAAATAAACCAAAAAACGGTGGCATAGTCTTGAAATGGAGGTCATTTTCAAAAACTATGTCTCCAATAAGATATAAGTAGACCCTTACATTGAATAAATTCGAAAAAATTAAGTAAGTCGAAACGCAGTGGCGTTATCTTAAAATGGAGATTATTTTCAAAAACTAGGCACATAACAACATAATACTAGACTCTTATATCGAATAAATCTGAATAGGTACAATATCGATATCGGAAAGTTTAACATAAAATCGATAGTATTTAAAAAAAATCTACTTAGGGGAGCATAATAATAGACCCTTATATAGGAAAATGGCCCTTATTTCGAAAAAAAAAAATCAAAAATTTAACTTGAAATGGAAAAGGTTTAATTTGAATTGGAAAAGGTTGAATTTGACTTGGAAAAAACTGAATATGACATGGAAATATTATACCAAAAAAATCTAAAAAGTAAAAATAAATAGATATGCAAATGTGTTATCACATTTGAAATGGAAAAGGTTCAATTTGACTTAGAAAAAATTGAATTTGATTTGGAAAAGGTTGAAATTGACTTTTAAATGCTATATTTCGTATTATTACCAGTACTATAATATTTTCATTGTTTTGATTTGCTCTAGTTTATTCTATCAATTTTAATTAAACTGGTGTCAAAAAAACTGTGCACACCTTGAATTTTATATAAAAACTGCTGATTAAAGAAATATTTTAAATAACAGGTATATGAAATATTAAATAACAGGTCAAAGTGGATTATCATACATTAATCTAAAAAAAACAAAAAAAAAACATGAAGGGTCTTGGGTTCAGTGCTATTTAGGGAAAGCACTGTTTCTAGGGCAACGGTTGTGCAAGGAGGTTATTTGACCGAGTGGACTTCATATCAGTTTGTCTCCAGTTGCCTGTTTAATCACATTGGTTTTCTTTTCTGTTTTGTTTTTTCTTGACAAAAATATTTCATTCATACTAAACCTTTTTAAGACTGTAAAATGGTTTTGGATCCCATGGCAGCCTCTCAGATTACTGTGTTAATTTAGAATGGTTGAAGGTAGCGTCTCTACTCACCGCAGGCACACCGGGAAGCTCGCCTTCACCTTTGTCGTGAACACGCTGCCTGAACAGAAGATAATTTGGCTTCTATTCTTTTTTCTGATGAGTCCAGATATAGCCCTTATGGTGAAGACAGACGAGTTCAAATGTGGAGAAGTCCAAGTGTATATGACTGGGAGCCCTTTTCTTGTTAAATAAAAAAATGAAGAATTTGATGTAGGAATATCTGTATATGAAGTTACTACTTATTTCGATACTGTCCTTTTATTTTGTTTTCCAATTAATATCCCTGAAGGGGCAATTAATTTTAGTGGGTTAATTAAGCATAACAATTTCAACATACAATCTGATAAGGGGCCCCAGTCTCATGCCTGTGGTTTGTCGCCTTTTTCCAATGCCGCCGCTTGTCTAAGCCTTCTCAGTTTTTCACCTTCTCCAGGGTGTTGCAACAGGTGTCCAGTCAATGTGTAGCCGAAGGGCTGTAACGTGTGTAGCTGAAGGGCAGTAATTCTCTCTCTCACTCTCTCTCTCTCTCTCTCTCTGTTAGCTGTGAGTTGTAAAGTGGATAGAGCAAGTGGGCGTTAAGGTTAGCCACTGGCTCTCTTTCCTGAAGTCGGCTGAGCAAATGGGCTGAGAGCTGAGTGCTTAGTCAAACATCTGTACTTCGGAGATAGATAAGGCACCCCATCCTCAAGAGGGGGTAAAACAGGATGAGACTGGGGTGCTCCCATGTTATTACTTCAAAGGAACTTACAATATAATACTCAATAATATGTATACGAAAAATTATAGATGTAAATCCAACACCAAGTAAACAATTAGCTCAGTGCAATATACGGAAAAAAGTGCAGTTTGGAGGAGAGTCAATGATGGTTTGGGGAGGAATGTGCTTAGAGTCAAGTAATGTAATGTAAGTAATGTGATCCAAAGGCCGACACTTTATGCACACATGTACATCACCAAAATCCTCGAATAATATATGGTACCTTTTGGCTTGATTGCTTTCCATTTCCTTTTTATGCAGGATAATGCTCGGACACACATCCAAAATGTTATACCGGGCTACCTAGACAAGGTTGGTGCCTGCACCTTGGAGTGGCCAGCATGCAGCCTGGACTTCAATCCTTCCTATAAAGCATATTTCTTTGGGACCAACTTGGGACGTCCATCCGTCAACAACCGAACCCTTCATGTGAACTCCAAGTACATAAATGGAATCAGATTCTAGATTGGGGAACCAGCCTTAATCGCGGTATGCCTATGATAGTACAGAGCATTATTTAAGCAAGAGGAGGCAACACTAGGTACTAGAGACACAACAATTAAAAAAGAATTAGAGGCATTTTATTTTTGTTTAAAAGAATGTCCATTGGCTTTTACATTACAGATTTTTTTAAATGAATCTTTGTTGTTTTTTTCCTTTATTTGTGGTCTCCTAGAAACAGAATATGCCACACTATATTAAGGTAAAAAAAATTGCAACATTGTTTCTGTTGGGAAAGAAATAACGACAAAATTTAAGGTATTCCCGTTTTTATGACCACCAGTGTAGTTCACTTCTATTATTACTGTATCATATTTTGTTGATAAGTTTATGGGAATAAAAAGTTTCTTTCAAGATATTGAATATTCCTTGATATATTCATCATCTGTCAGTGTACATGCTCTTTTCATGAAATTTTTAGCTGCATTTATTTTCCGTGCCAAAAGATGGTTTGAGTTGTAATTTATTATTTGTTATTTTGTCCATTTTTATTTTTATTAATGATTATTACAGCAACATATAAGTATCTAATTTTATTGATTATTTATCATTTTATTGTAAATTTTATTTTTTTATGATAATTATTAAATTATTTGATTACATCCTTCTTTACTATTTTTTATAATTATTAGGTCTCCCTGTATTTTTTTATTAATATTATAGGTTGTTATTTTTTTTTTAATTTTATGTAATAAGATTGTTCATGTAAATCTCACTAATGTTGATTGCCAAAATGGATCCCAGGAATTAATAGAAAATATAACTAAGATAAACTAATATATACAATGATATTATAAAAATAATGTTATTAACATGCTATGCTTATTGTATTTTTACCGGAACAGAAAAATTAAACATGAAGATAGACACTAAGAGCACGAAATGGCAACAAATGGAACATGAAAAATAAAAAAATAATTATATGATAAATGAAAGAGGTACCATCACTATAAAAAAAACAAATAAATAAACAATCTTACAATTTTCTTAAGAACACAATTCTCATACATTAGTGTTTTCTTTTTTTTTGGAAATTGAATAATTAATAAATAAACAAAATAGAGAATCCTTATAATAAAGGAAATACTTATCAATAGAGACAGATTTTCGTTAGTAAAAATCCAAAAATATTTATAATTGTGTAATTAACACCTAAAAACTTGCAAAAATCACCTATTTAGTTTAATTTATTATGTTAATACATCAAAATCTGATCAAATCGAATAGAATGTACAATGGCATAGAAATCTGGTCTCTAATTGATATATTAAATTAAACAAAATAGATGATATTCAAAGGTACACAATTTTAAATATTTTTGGTTTTTACTACACTATTTTGCACATTTTGAGATTTTTAATGCACGTTTTTTGGTTTTTACTGCATGAAAATCCGGTCTCTACTCATCAATTATGAAATTGGGGGGGGAGTCAAAATTCAAATAATTATATAAACTATAATATAAATTTAAATAATTATAAATGTATTCTTACCCAAATCATGACAAAACAGCCTATGTTTCATAAAAAAGACCACAAGCCCCAAAGTACATATTATTGATAACAGGAATAGTACCTTCTTGATTGAATAAGACCTGAATTGTGATTTGGTCATGACTGGATGTGTACGTTGAAAAATCTTCAATGATACAAGCATATATATCAGAGAACTAATCATGAATGTTATAAAAATTTTTTCATGGAGAGCTAAAAACAAAAAAATATTTATTGAGTATATAATGGTGCATTCTTAAAATTATAATATATACAAAGGTTAACTAAATATGAAATGGAATACATTTTGTTTATACATATTTTGTAAATAATAAGAAATATTTAAAACAGTGATGGTGGGCCTCAAGAGCAACAAAAGAGTACATATATGAAATGTTCCAAAGCCAAAGAGAAAAGATGGAAATTCAAGTTTTGTTTATGTTTAAGTGTAATATTTTTGGTTGAATTGGAAGCAATGACAAAAAAACTATTGAATCAAAGTTGAGTAAATTAGATAAAATTCTATTTAAACGAAAGCAAAAGTTTTCTTGACCAAAACCATTTTAAAGGGGATTTTAAGTTTTCATAAAATCATATATTATTCACAATTTTATTAATTTATTAATCAGTCACCTACAGCACTTTGGATTCTCCATTTTAAGAAAAAGTTTATTGTTTAATAAGCCTTAAGTCCATATCAATTAAATGATAATAATATAATCCCTACTGAGGGGCAAAAAAGAAATATCAGGAACTGGCTATAGAATTGAATGAATTATGCCAGGGATTGAACTTTTATAGAACTTTTTTTAAAAAGTTTCACATTTAACAGTTTCTGTGTAACTTTTAAGAAAAAAAGTTCCATTATGGCAGTTTCTGTGAAACTTTTTAGGGGAAAAGTTCCACTATGAAAGTTTCTGTGAAACTTTTTAGGAGAAAAGTTCTTAAAATAACAGTTCTAAGGAATCTTTTTGTAATACAGTTACAGGTTTATGGTAATTTATTTATGGTAATTAATTTAAGCTCTTAAAAAAAAATTCTGTTAAATGAAAAATAAACAGTAATTGGAGTTAGATTACAGTTATAATTTATCTTATATGAATTACACTATTCAAATGACTGTTGTTTGTTATGAAGTAAGAATGAATAAAAGTCATTTTTTAGATCGACTTTTTAGAAAAATTGTCAGAATTTTTAAATATTTAAAAAATAATAAATAAAAGTTCCGTGAAATGTTAACTAGAAAAGTTGCAAAGGAAAATGTCCCAAGAAACTGAAAAAATATCGACAATAAACTGCGATATCAAAAATTTTAAAAATAAAAGATTTTTTCCATTTCAAGCCATGAATTATAACATTTGGATAGCATCTCCACCACTCTAATCATAATATCCACCAATGGGCTGATACCAAAGTCAACAGAGGCAGGCACAGATGGTTTAAAATTACCTATTGATGTGCTAAGAGAGGCCCAACAGTCAATTCTCTTAGACACAGCTGGTATTGTCTAAAAATGTTTAAATATTTGAAAAAAATAATATGAAGGTGGCAGGATTTCTGGTCTCCCATCTCAGATACTCAATCCATAATGGCGAGAAAAATTAGGATATAATAATAACAGGCTTGGCGAATTGAAAGGTTCGATGATGATGCCGACACTACTAATCTCTGTCTATACACCTCCCTCCACCAGTCACCATCCAAAGCCTGCCCTGCCTGATTAGCCATAATGAGATCTTCCCACTTTCCCTTCGGTCTACTTCACTGAAGTTTACCAGTTCCCACAGCAAATATTAAACTTTTAGGGATTCTTTCGTTACTAGCGCCAACAATTTTATTTACACTATTTAATCACCTCAATTATATTAACCGTATAAAGTTCACACAATTCGTAGTTGCATAATCATCTAAGATTGCATAACTTTAATCTCCTTTTTAATTTCGATTTTTCTAGTAGTCTTATGGTGGTATGCATAATCGTCCCTTATTGTTCCTAAAAGGCTGGGGGCCAGAGTCCACCCCTTCAACTTCCCTTCTAGTACAAGGGACATTTAGGGGAGATAGAGGGCCCTTCATCATTTCCGAAATCCCCTTTACTCTCTCCACTCACTACAACTTATATTTAACTGATAGAAAATGGAATTATCATTTTATTATTATTATTTTTGCTATTATTATACTTCTAAAATTATTATTTTTGTTATTATTATACTTATATCTAAATAAAATCTAGTAAAATGAAACTTCTTGGTTCAAACTATTTTATGAGCATTTACCAGATAGGTTAAAAGTTAAAAAAGAAAAATTTTATTGAAAACATTATTTTCTCCACTCAACTTCATAGAATTAGTTTGATATTAGCCAGATAATGATATATAACTGTTTCTTATTTTCTTAAAGATTGGCGCAAAAATGTGTTAAAATATCAATTAAACATCGAATAAGTAAAGGAGGTAATTGGACTGTTCAAATACATATTGAATTATTGTTATCTTTTTTTTTTTAAATATTCTTATTATATAGATGAGTGATATATAAAGAAAAAGCTTTTGTGGAGAGGAGTTACTGATTTACAGTTCTTCACATCTCTAGTACTCCAAAAAGCTGATATTATAGAAAATAAAGATACAGATACTGTTTCAAATACAATAAAAAAAAAAAAAGGGCTAGGGAGGAAATTCTTGCCGAATTCAATGCTAATGGAGAACAAAACTATGTATCTATTTTCAGTTAAAAGTATTTAAAACACAATTTATACATTTACTTTGATAGAGAGTAAAAGTGGCATAAATTAACTTTAAAAGAAAATTTTAAAGTTAATTTATGCCACTTTTAAGGAACAAAAAATTTTAAGGCATAAATAACTAATGAACTTTATAATTGTTTAAAACATTAATTTTTTTTTTTTTTGTGGATGCTCAAGTCAAAAAATAAAATATGAATTCAAAATACTAAACACAATTAATTATTTATTATGGAAATGACCTATACCACTTCATTCAACCCCTCCATTAATAAATATTTTTAAAAACCTGATTTATTTTATTATCTACTTCAATTTCCCTTTGTCTGAAAATACCTATTTCTGCTTTTTAAAAAAAGGGTGGTAAGTGAAAGTTGTGTGATGCACACAATGCCCTGACTTTTTGTTTTACAACTGCTGGTGCTGTTCAATCCCTTAGATCATTTAAAGTTTTAAAGTTTTTTAATAACCCATTATACACAGTTGCTGCCATTTGATATTCCAATTGGTAAATACTTCACTATTGCTGCTTGTTCCGCTGACCTCTACCACCCATTTTCCTAATGTATCTGTTAGGCCCAATGGAAGGTCATCTTAGGTAGCCATTAATCTATGCCAAAGTTTATCTGGCAGATTTGGAGGACCAACTAGGATGATGGATTATGGTTTGTTCTGACTAAAGTAATATTATAATTACTTAATGATATTATACTAAGTAATAAAATAATTTCCTGGGATAGAACCTGGTTTAGGACATGATGAGAAATACAATATATATATATAACATAACCATTCAATTGGAAATAAGGTCACTTATTAATTATTTAATAAACTACTGAATGTTCATTTCCTCTATGTTTATTGACGTTTCGATCCCGGTATTTTTCTTTTTATAAGTGATATGGGATCCTCTTCAAAGTTTTAAAAAATAGAGCTTCGATCAGGCCAGGGACACACCGACAGTCTCAGCACCGTCCACTAGCACATATATTAAGCTACTCCTTAATTCTATATCTTTACAACTTTTCTTTAATCGACCTTTGAGTATTAAATTTAAACATAACCATTTAATGGTTATGTTTAAATTTAACACTCAAAGGTCGATTAAAGAAAAGTTGTAAATATATATATATATATATAAATAAAGGAAATAAGGAAGGTAAATTGAGGAATCCAAATCATATAAGATTTTACTAAAAAATTAAAATTTACTAATAATTAATGCCTTTACTAAGAAATCAAGATGTATTTTTTTTTTAATATTGTAATAATATACCAAATATTAATGTCAAGTTTGTCAAATGAACATAAAGCCCAATGTTATCTCAACTAGGATAAACCTAATACTTTCATTTTTATTTACACCTTGATATTTTTAAATTGTTAAATATCAATTCAATTATATCAATCATGTTTATTTATTGTTGACCTATTCATTTAATTTATGTTTTGAAATTAACTACATTTTATATGCATTTTGTAGTATTTTTGTATAACTTTATTTTTAAAAATTCCTTAGAACTTTTTTCCTAAAATGTTTCAACGAAGCTATTAAAATAGTTCTAATACTTGGTATTGACTATTTGATACCAAGCAATATTTTTTAAAAAATTGATGTAAAATAGTTTATTAAAGAAAATATAACCTGACCCCAAAGTGGAGCTAAAAAGTTGTCCATTAAAATAAATGAAGAATCTGATGAGTGAAACTTCACAAACAATATTTCAGAAGTAACATAATAACCAAAATTGCACTTCCTATAAGTTAAATATTATTAAATTAAATTATTAATTATCCTGTTCTTGCTAGTATGTTTCAACTTGTAGACATCTCCTAATTAAGAGGGCAATGGTCTAACTACAGACAGGATTAAATATAAGTTGTGTTAAATTGCTGGAAATGCTTGAGACTTACTATTTTTATCAGAAAAACTATTTTGTAATTCCTTATAAAGAAATTTATATAAATCTATACCTGCCTTTATAGTACTTCTAGTAAGGAATCAATGTCTAAAAGCTTTAGTTTTTTACTTACACCACTTTACATGGTTCAATAATAAGTAGTTCTTAGTTTAAAACTGGATCATTGTCAGTATTTGAGTAAAATTAGTATTTTAGTATCAGTACTCAGAGTAGTATTTGCCCAACTCTGCTCTAAAGTAGTCCTAATACGGAAACTGGAACAGGGGGTTATTTTAGGTCTGGAAAATGAGCGTTTTACCTTAGGGAGATCCATGACTATTTGTGATGTATGATAAACTAAACATATGTGAGTAGAGTGATCAATCCTATGACTCACCCTCCAGCAAGCCTGGCAAACCGCTCTCATTTTTTTTTTTTTTTTTCAGCCCTTCCTTGTCTTTCTAGGCTATACTGGGATTTTCTCAAACCAGGAGAGAGGGTGGGGATTAATGCTAGAATTAAAGCCACCTCCCCCGGCAGCGGGACACAAACTCGTAATTATTTTTAAATCTTGAGAACTTCAGTTTATCATATGGTTGCCGGGCAATGCTTACTTTGAACAGGCATTAGCTCATTCGGCCACCTTGCACCCTCTCATTGTTGGTCAGCAAGTCCAACAGAATATCCTCTTAAATCTGAATTAAGAAATAAGAAGATAAACTTGATTATCTTAAATATGTTTCATTAGTTCAAGGAACAATCAATTTTCACATATCCATACCAAAAGATAGCCAAGATCTATACTCATATATACCTTCACTATGAGAGCTATTGTTAAAGAATTATGTGGTAAAAGTTGAAAACTTGCAAATAAATTATTTCAAACAAAGAAAAAGCCCTAAAAATGATTACAGCATTAAAAGCTGAGGTTAGAATAAAGGAAGACTTTCCATCTAATGAAAACCAAAGAACCTGAAAGCATGGACTAGTTAAGTATTAATAGAAGAAGATATAATAATAATAATAATAATAATAAAAGGCTTAGCGAACCCGAAGGTTCGATGGCGACACCACCAATCGCTTATTACACACCTCCCTCCACCGTTCGCCGTCCAAACCCAGTCCCTTCAGATCGGCTTTAATGCAATCTTCCCACCTTCGCTTCGGTCTACCCCTCGGACGCTTACCATTCGGCACAGCACATATTAACCTTTTAGGAATTCTCTCGTTACTAAGCCCAACAACTTTACAAGCCCATTTGATTCGCCGCGATGAAATTACCTCAATTATATTACCCGAATACAGCTCACGCAATTCGGCGTTGTGTAACCGTCTGAACTCTCCGGTTAACTCATCCTTCTTCGGTCCGAATATTCTACGCAATACTTTATTTTCAAAAACCTTAAGACGCTGCTCATCCCTTAATGTAAGCGGCCAAGTTTCGCATCCATAAAGAACTGTAGGCAAGATAATTGTTTTATAGATTCTAATTTTTAAGTTCCGGGACAAGAGGCGCGAACTAAGTAGTTTTGTCACAGAAAAATAACAAGCATTTCCCGCCTTCAGTCTAACCTTAATCTCTTCTTCAATTTCGTTTTTTCTAGTTATCGTAGAACCTAGATACCTAAATTTCTCTACCTGTTCAAACATATTACCATCTATATCGATATCACCAGTAGTATCGCCATTTTTGCAGCTAACCATATATTTTGTTTTATCCACGTTTATTTCGAGTCCTAGTTCTTTACCGGCTTTCATTAACGTTGTCGTATTTAGTTTTATAGTTTCAACGTCTTCGCTTAACAGTACCAGATCATCAGCATAGCCCAGCACGGATGTTGTTCCACCCAGATCCAACCCTTTCTCGGTACGCATTACCTCCCTAATGGCATGTTCTAATGCCAAATTGAACAGGACAGGCGAAAGAGAATCACCCTGTTTTAAACCCGAACGAACCTCAAACTTTTCGGACAAATTATTACCGATTCTAACTTTATTGAGTGTCTCCGTCAAGCAAATCCTGACTAGATTTACTAGTTTTTTTGGAATCCCCTGCTCGATTAGAATATTATACAGTTTCTGGCGGTCAATAGAATCATAAGCCTTTTTAAAATCTATATACAGCTGGTGAACAATACCGTTATACTCCAATTTTTTCTCTAATATTTGCATCCTGTATATCTTCTATAATTGTTTTATAGATTCTAATTTTTAAGTTCCGGGACAAGAGGCGCGAACTAAGTAGTTTTGTCACAGAAAAATAACAAGCATTTCCCGCCTTCAGTCTAACCTTAATCTTCTAGAAGAAGATATACAGGATGAAAATACATTTTGGAATCTTGTACTTAATGAAACTATGAGGTGATACCCAACTGATCAATAGTGGAGAAATTCTATTCATAAGAAGAATACAAAACAATGTGCAGGGCATTTAAAAAAAAAAAAAAAAAAACCATTAGAGTGCTGACAATGGGTAGTTTCTCTACAAGTCTTTTCATATCATTATATTTCTTTGTGTCAAATTTACTAGAGTTTAATACAGTTGTAAATTTCATGAATAAAAAAAAAAAAAAAAAAAAATGCCAAAGTCAAATTAATTATTGAAAGATTTACAAAGAGCACTTCATTAATAAAGCAGCTTCAAATGAAATTTATTGATGGAGTGCATGTACATATAAATGGAATATTCAAATTCAACAAATAATAAAGGAAGGATGATTTACTTACGGTAGTTATCTTGATTAGATATATATGTAACTCCAACTAAAGATAATATTTCTGTTAGGCTCAGCCAATAACAAAGTTTGACAAATTTTAGGTATCTTTGTCGTTCACTGATAGGAGTTATATCTCCAATCAGTTTAGAATAATAGTTGTTGTAAACCTCTGAAATTAGGAATCTTGGACCAAGATGCAATGCTATCGATATTCTCCATAAGTATCGTTCAGGGCTTATACCAGTAATTGCACTAATTGATGGAATTATATTATAAACCTGCAAGATACATAAATAAGTTATTGATTAATTCACACACAGTCACATTATTTAAATCTAATATGTTATATAAGTACTTTGTCATGACATTCTACAATATATATGAGCTAATCAATTACCAATAACAAATTTGGATGAAACTAATTATTGAAAAATATTTTTAGAAACGTATCAATGAAATTATTAAATTGTTTGTACATATAGAACAATCATATATTCAAAATGCGCACATTTAAATGTCTACAAACAAGCACACAAACTCTTTATAACTAAATTCTCAGAAATTAAAATCTGACCTACTTCAGGTATGGAGTAAAAATAATAAATTATTGCAATTTCAAAATAATTTATTAAAATGATTAAAACTTTATTATAAATGTTCTATCATAAATAAAAACTCTTTATAAATTCACTTTTAATCATGCCAGTGGGTGTAGTGTTGCTAGGTAAACCACTGCCAGTCCTAAGCCTGAATAAAGGAGGAGGGTTGAGTGAGAGGGATGTACAACCTCATCCATGTACATCCATTTGAATAGGAGGAGAGGAGAGGAGTAGGATCCCAACCAACACCGCATCCTAAAAGATAATCGAGAAGAATTAAGAACAGCGGAGAATGTGGAATTACGATTAGGACTTGGAATGTCCAAAGCACATTGGAACCAGGTGCAAGAACAGCTCTGGAACAAAACAAAGTAGATATAGTGGCTCTACAGGAGATATGATAAGGAGACAATAATATCACATCCCTTGACAAGTACATGCTGATAAATAGTGGTTCTAAGGGAAATCAGAGAGACACCAGTTTCATGATTAGAAAAAGTATCTGACATGTGTTAATTGGATACAGCTGTATTAATGACAAGATCTGCAGAGCATGGGTGAAGGATAGATTCTAAAATATATCACTGATTAGCATACTTGTCTCTAGGGAAGATGTAGAGTAATTAGGAAAGGAAGCATTCTATACCAGTCTGGCCAAGTCATATGATGAGATACAACTAGTATGACACTAAGATTGTACTTAGTGATTTCCAATGCTCAATTAGGCAGGGAAGAAATATACAGACCCACAATTGGGCAACATAGCGGGTTTGAGACAACAAATGGTAATAGATTTTGGACTGGAATTTGCAATGTGTAGAGCAGGAGTGCCCAGAAGGAGTTTTCATGGCGCAAGTTGCACCATGCGAAATTCTTGAGGAGGGCACATTTAGCTGGGGTTTTGAATTATTTAGGGGAAGGGAACACATTTCAACGGGGTTATGAATTTTTGAAATGAAAAATTTCAAATCAAAAGACAAATGGAACCATGGAAAAGACTGCAGGATGTGTAGTTGCATACAATATACAAGTTTTTAAATTATGCTTTTGTTTGGAGTTTTTAAGAGGATAGCAATAAAATATCTTGTGAAAAGTGGTGGAAGGTTCATGCTCCATCGACCTTGTGGGAGATGGGCACCCCTGGTCTAGAGGAATGATGGTCATGACTATAATGATCCCCCACAAAAAGATTCATAAGGAAACACGGATATGTTTAGGGGTACTAGAAGCCAAATAGACCACATTTTAATAGGAGCGAGATACTTTTCTTAAATCTCAGATACACATATCAACAGGAGGGCAGACTACTGCTCTGGCCATTTTTTGGTACTGATGAAATATAAACTAGGCCTGGAACTGAGAAAGAGGACATCACTATCAACTACAGACCAACTATTCTCAATTAGACAAATGCTGGAGAAAACACATAAATACAATATAGATCTACGCCACCTATTTATTGAAGATACCTCGTAAGCTAATAAGATCGACAAGGATGATCATAGAAAGGACAAATTGCAAGGTCAAAACCAGAGAGAGTATATCAGATAGCTTTGAAGTATGAAAGCAGCACTGGCCAGCACTGAAGAAGAGTCCAAACAGGTAGCTCAAGATCTAGGACTCATGATAATTGCAGATAAGACAAGATATATGAAAACATCTCAACATACCAGAGAGAGGACATATGTTGAATTGGGAGAAGATACATTTCGTGACTGTGATAAATTTAAGTACCTGCGGAGAGTAGTGATGGAAAACAATAATTTGAAAGCTGAAATAAAAGGCACAATGGTTGCAGGAAATAGGTTTTTCTACACCCTGCAAAAGTTGCTAGATACAAAAAGTCTCCAGGAAAGCAAAGAAATGATTAGAAACCGGATTACCATGTTATTACACGTTTTATTTGCTAGTGTGTGAAAATTCCGAACACGAATAAATTTCAGAATCTGTAGAATAACATATTTAAATTTTATATTGTACAAACTTGCACATTCTGCTGTTTTTGGCTTAAATTGCAAGATTTTGCACTTTTATAAATTAGATGATTTATAAATACAAATGGATAGGTGTGTGTTAATACTTACCTCTTTATTTTAGTATATTGTTCAAATTAAATTCATTATTCAAGATGGAAAAATATGAGGAAGGTAAATAATTCTGTGACAAGCAAAAATCAAATTTAACTTTTCAAAAGGAAGCAATAAACACAAGTGAGAAATATCCTTGTAATAGAACTTGCCTAGAGTATTGGATAATAAAAAGCTGTTTTGTTAGTAAGAAATTTATTGTAATTCTTTTGACTTAAATTCTCACTCATTCCCTCAGCTCTTCAGAATCCTTTCTGGCTTAGAATTGGTTTGCAGTAATTTCATTATTATAAAAAATAAATAAAATAATGCTCAATGTAAAATTTAGTCTCTCGTAAAAAATTAAAATTTGGTATTTTAATAGAGAGAACCATTTGAGTTCTTGTCTCAACTTTCAAAGAATAGCCCTGAGGATGACCCACATGTTTTGGTCGAAACGTTGGCTAACCCAATAATAATAATATCTTGACTGAAAGACCTGAAAATTTTGTTTCATACGTATAATTGATCAGTCAACTATTTACCAATCTCTAAACTTTCCATAAAAATAAAAGAACTCAATGGTCAAGCCCTGAGGATGATAAAAATGTTTGAGTCAAAATATCAGCTAATCCAATAAAAATATGTTAGCTGAAAGTCCTGACAATTTTGTTTCATCCATAAAATCTGGTATAATAATACCCCAAATTGAAATTTGATAAGAAAGAATTTTATTAGAAAATACCGTATGCCTTATGAAAAATCAATCAGATGTGATAGGAAATCACTGATAGAGCCTCCTTGTAGAAAAGCTAAGAAAAACATATTCCTATCAAAGAATTTAATGTTTTTTTTAGAAAGAAAATAATCCCCAAAAATATGTTTTTTTAGTGATTTAGAAAAAGAGCTGCAACAATAATATTACAGGGTATTCCTCAAGTTTCTTTCAATTTTAATAAAAAAGTTTTCGAGAGTAAAATATTGGAAATTTCAACTCAATTAAAAAATAATGTTTTCATTATTATTTTTAATAAAAGTTAAATATCTAAAATTGATCTGGTCTATATAATCTATATTAGGTACCTATAATTCCTTCCTTTCTATATTCCTTTAAACCTTCAATGTTACGCATTATCTCATTCCTTGTATGTCAGACAATTGACCAATTAACCAATTTAAGGACAATTCAAACAAATATATTTGAGTTACTTATTGAGACCTTAACCTGTAGAGAAAAATTAATAGACGTTTCATCGAAGTGTTTTTTTTTTTTTTGTTTTATCTTGATATTATCGTTGTTAAATGATAGAAAAGGGTATTAAGTCAATGTTTGATTTATGTAATCCTTAGGCTGATCGTTCACCGAACACACAGCTGAGCGTAGCTGAAGCAGCTTCCAAAACCGAATCAAAGGTTTTTAATGACAGGGCAGCCACCAGATGCAGAGCTGAGCTGATCGCAGTTGAGCGGTGTAGCAAGGGCCAGCTTAGCTCAGCTTTGGCTTGACCGAGGTTCGGTTTTGAAGCTACACTCAGCTTCTCCTACCACACCTACTCACCACTGCCTCACAACCGTTTGTGCTTTGTTCCTAACTGTCATTCTCTTTTCCCGCTTGTTAACACTGCACAACCTCTCAAATTATTTTATTTTGGTTTAGTTTAAAATATGCAATGGATGTGGAAGAGTTCTTAATAGAATGTGCAAGGGAAAATATTCATTTTTATACACAGATGTTTAATTTTTCTTTTCAACTACGACATGATCAACTTTGTTATTTTTTAAAAATGTTATATATTATGCTATATATATTTTTTTTTAAATGTTATACGGAATATGAGAAGGATACTGTTGCAAGGCAAGTTGCTGACTGAGCTGAGCTCCAATACGCAATCGGTTGTCGACCCCCTCTTGCTATGCTTAGCTCAGTTGCAATTTCGGTGGCCGGTCAGCCTTCTTATTGTTTAAATTTCTCTTCTTTAAGATTTAGGTTAGTCATAATTTATTGTTGAATTATATTATATATTGTTGTCATTTGTTGATTATAATTTGGAATTTCATTTTCAAAGTAACGTTTTAATTTTTATCTCTCGTTCAACTCAAGATCTGATAAGATTTTAATGTATTAAAATTATAAATTAAATAATATTGATGATTTCACACATTTCTAAGTGTTAATTTTGGGTTTTCCCTGTTTTTCGGATATTTAGGGCACGAAAATCCGGTCTCTACTAATGATAAATAGAATGGTCATTGTGTATGGCAGTAAGACCTGGATTCTGACCAAGGAAAACAGGAAAGCCTTGCTGGTCTGAGAAAGAAGAGTCCTAAGGAAGATCTTTGGAGCCGTCAGAGAGCAGCATAGGTGGAGAATCAGAAGCAATGCTGAACTAACGGAACTATAAGGTGAGCCTGATATCCTCATTGTTATTATGAAGAGTAGATCCAGAAGGCTGGGTCATCTTTAAAGAATGAACCTCTTTAGATTGCCAAAAATTAAGCGAATGGTACACCAGGAGGAAAAATGGCAGACTCAGGTTCCAATGACTGGATATCTTGTAAAAAGACTTGAGGAAGCTAAGGATCAGAAATTGAAAGAACCTAGCTATTGACCACGAGGAGAAAGGATTGGTATAAAGGTCCAGGTTCTCTGTAAGGACTATAGTCAAGTTTTGAATAAATAAAATTCAAAGAGAAAAAAAAATTAAATAATAAGTATATATAAAACGTGTTCATTAGCAATAATATTTTCTCAAACTAACTTCTGCTTTCAGAAAGTTCAAGATGTACAAGTTCCACCAAGTTAAGAGAACTTGAATGCTACTTATCAATAATCTAAAATAAGATTTTTTTTATTTCTTGAAAGTCATTTATTTTATTTTATTTTATATCTTGCTTTATGCAACAATTTGATCAATTAAAAACAGCTAGTGTCAAATCATTTTACTAACAACCAATACTTTGATGGAATATCAAATACAGAATATAACAGGAAGATTTTCACAATTAATATTACCAACTTTTACTTTTTAATATTATAACTGTAGATGGTTGACAGTAAAATAAATCAGATTGAATATTTAATAGTTGACCACTGCATTATAAAGGAAGGCGATTGTGAGGGGTGGTGGTCGGTCATAAATAGGCTAAATAGTGCCAAAACTATTTTATTAAAAGCCTGGTATAAAAATATAATAATGAAATAGTTTTGTCACTATTTAGCCTATTTATGACCGCCAACCCCGACCATCTCCTTCTTTTAAAATAAATCAAGAAGGAGGTGGTCAAGGGGTCGGTCAGTTTTAAGTTATTAGTAGATTTAGAAATAAGATCTATTAATCTTATGTTGTAATATTTATATTTAATATATATTTTAAATTTAACTACTGTTTATATCAAAGATTAATGTTAAATGGTTAATTATTTAAAATTATAAGTACTTTAGAGGATGATAATATTGAAAATTAAACATTTTGAGTCCTGTTAGAGAACATCAATGAGAATAAAAACTACATTATATTAAAAACTGCTCCATAATACACTGATAAACTAAGTTTAATCAAAATCGTTAGAGCCGTTTTTGAGAAAATTGTAAAAATGTGTGTGTTAAATCAATGATATAAAGTACCACTTCTGGTTTGCCAATTTTGACGAAAATGTTGCTGTAACATTCCAGGCTTATATACCTCAAATACACAATTTCAGTTTCATGCGACTTTTCATTTTAAAGCTCGACTGTTCACATACATAGACACATGCACGCACAGACCATTTTGTGGGACTTGGTTATTTGGACTCAGGGGACCTCAAAACGTGTATTTCTATTAAAAACTTGGATTGAAAAATTTTCACAATATTTATCCTTACTATATATAACATATAATAGGTAAGTGAAAGAAAAAAAAAGTACTGAAAATACAATGAACTGTCTTTATTGGCAAAGAAACTGTTCCTTAACACCTAGTTTTAAAAATATAATTAAAAGAAAAAAAAGACTTCTTTCAATTGTTACTTATTTTTTTAATCTGTTGATGTTTGTACAATTTAGAGCATAGTTAATTGTTAAATGTTTTGAAAATCAGGATACAAACCTGAAACATCAGTAGATTAAAATAAAATATAAATAACTAATAAAGAGGTAATGAATGATGTTATTTACTAAAAACCAAATAAATAAATAAAATCATTGTTCAGGAAATTTCAATGAAGACACATCAATACATTTGATATATCAATACATCAAACTTTTTGTGATAAAGAACAATTCAGAACCATGATAGCAAACATCGTTGCACCCTAGAACTTGAAAAATTTAATGACTTTTATTGATTTCTCATAAAAATCCATATCATTTTTAAATAATCCAAGTCTTGCAGATACACACTAGTTTGTTTGTATTAAAAAACCAATGACTAACATATTTAAGGACTCTCTCTTTCTCTCTCTCTCTCTCTCTCTATATATATATATATATATATATATATATATATATATATATATACTTCTACAACCATTTGACGACTTTATCAAATAAAACTTCTCAACTTTATCCTAAGGATGAAGAACTAATTGCGAAGAACATACAATCATCAAGTGTATATTCCTTTATGAAAAAAAATTCAAATGATTATAAAAGCTTTCTCTGTCATATCCAATTACATAACATTAAATTAAATAAATGAATACTCAAAAACTCAATTTCAATACAAACTTATAATGAGCTATTAGGATATTTGAATGGAACATCAGAATTAAATATTCGCTAATATTCAATCAATGATAAAAAACGGAAACTTAACTAAATTGTAATTCATTTTCATAAATGTTATCAGTTATGTCAAACAAGTGCAGATTACAAAATATCAAAATATAAAACTACAGAATTTCCTGTAAATTGTTCAAACATCAGAGAAACTGCAGTAAGCAAGTGAAAACTACCAAGCACTAATTTACAATTGTACAAAACTAATAACAATTGTACAATAATACTTACTCTGCAGTGTGTCTCATGTATTTCACTTTGTTGAAAAATATAAGCAAAAATAAAACAAACTATGAGAGTGAAAAGTGGTAAAGAGACAGTAAAAATACAGAGTTTTCGAAAACTGAGAAGAAAATAAACATTTTTATTTGAATGCTTAGGTAAAGTTGAATGATCAATATCCATAACTGATTAATCCTAATGACAAATTGAGAGAAAACTATTATTCATCTGAAAAACCAACATTTGTAACTTGGTCTATAAAAAAACATTAGAGAATCCAAAGCTACTTCAAACATATTAAGACATAAGTCCAATAAAACATCCATTCCTTAAGGAAAGGTAATTTTCGAGTGACTATATTAGATAACATCTTAATTAAGTTTGAGTAAATAACTGTCATAAAACATTGGATAACAATTTTTCCCAATGGCACCTTTCAAACAATAATCAATGACAAAAAACAACTTATACGATTTGGACTAGATTAAGACAAAAAGGGAAGAATATCATTTCGGTTATGTGTAATTTACTCCTAAGGATCACATTTCGGAAGCATTTATAAATAATTGGAAGCTTGGTTTTTAGAACCTTGCTTATTATTAAAGACCATTTAAACTACTAGGTTAGGGAGACCGATTCGAACGACAGAGAGGTCGATATCATTCGATTAGTAAAAAATCATCTAACATTATTTGTTAAAAATAACTGCTATTTCGTAGTGTTTTGTTTTGAAGATCAATTTGACTTGATTGCCAAAAAAAATTTTGCGAATTAAATTATACAGGTATTAAGGTAGAAAACTCTCGAGTATACATGATTAAATAATTTAATTTATTTTTATAAGATAATCGCACATACTTAGTTATATATACATAACCCATAATGTGGAGACAACATTAACAACAAATGTTATTCCTTAATAAATAAGAATTTAATATTGATACAGAAGAAAACAAAGAAAATCTGAGCAAAAATTGTATCTTTTTTACAGTTAACAAAATGCTAACAATATATACATTATCTTCTGTAAAAATAAATAAACAACAAATAATATTTTCTCGATAAAAAAGATGATTGTAATGAAAAAAAAAAAAGATGAATTGATTCCTAAAGTTAAAACTTAAAAATTTAGAACCATTATTCACTTATATCAAAGTGAATTCATAATTATAAAGTGTATGCTTGGGATGTAAGAAGGTATTGGGAAATAAGGTATTTCAATGAGAATATAGAAAAGACATGGCAGTTGATTCCAGACTGGCAATGGAGCGGGTAAAAGGAACGTTCTAAGAATTTAGTTTTGTGGAATCTTAAATTATAACATCCACATTTCATATGCCTTTGAATTAATTCCATCTAGATTCTCGAACTTTCATCAGAACCTTATTCACCACCCTAATCCTATAAGGACCCCTTACACGCTCAATATTAATGGCATCAATTATATTGACGTCAGTCAAACTGGTTCATATACATTTTTATTGAAGCTCCTTCAACATTATTAAAACAGTGTCAATATAATTACACGTGTAAGAGCTATATTGTGCAAAATAAAACTATATATATATATATATATATATATATATATATATATATATATATATATATATATATACAGTCGCAAAGAAGTTTCCATACATTTATTTAGTTTTTCTTTAACATTGCTATTAATCTACTTCTTATATTATTTTTATTAATCAAGAAGGGTAATAGAGGCAAAGGTGTTCCAACATCATAAAAAGTTCATGCTGAATTACTAATCCCATACCAGGAAGAGATACAATTTTAATCTGAAGGTCAAAAAGGTTTCCAGACATCTATAACATCATATTTCTCTTTCTATTCAATGCCATTATTTCATTCAAATTTATTATCTGGACAATACATTAAGGAATTAAGACCGAGTGCTGATAAGAGACTATCTTTATGGAAACCCCCACCACTCACTGTTGCCGCGCACTCGTGACAAATCCTCGTACTGAACCCTCGTACATCCTCGTACGCTTGCTCATTCATAGCTCGTACTACTTTAAGCCCAGTGTTATTATTTTTTTATAGTAAACTTAGCGCTTTTTATTTTTACCTCTATTCATATATTTTAAAGCCTTTTTACATTACTTTTTTTTATGTTAATGGGTCAAGAAGTAAAATTAGCTTAATAAAATATATAAAAAAGTTTATTTATTTTTAGAAACTACTGGAAACTTTATATAAAAATTAAAATAGCAAAATAAACTTCATAAAGTACTCTTCATCAGTATCCATTAGTAGATCCAAGATTTAATTTGGGGGAGGACTAATTTTTTTTTTTTTTTTTTCCTAAAAACAAAACAACTAAGTTTATCAAGGATGTTTGTGGTTCTTGAAGGCTAATAATACATTATTATTAGGGTATTAATACTTTTAATGAGATATCCATTATAATATAAAAAATTAATAGATTTTGATCGTTTCAGTATTTAGCTTAGTATTTAGCTATCAGATCTCGCACAAATCAAATGTGGACGGCTAAAAAAATATTTTTTTTTCCATTATTTAAGATGGGTTCATTATGAATACTAATTAATTTTTCAATTAATTACTTTACTCGATTAAAAATCTAATTTTTTTTTTAAATTATGGTAACAATTTTTTTAAAAAAATTTAATTTATCTAGAATATATTTACAATTGCAGTTTTATGAAGGAAATGATAATTACGAAGGAAATAATGGATATACTTTCTCGTATTTTATTTTATGCTTGATAAAAATGACGGTAAAAATTTCTTTTTAATTTTCTTTTACAACACATTTTAAAAAATATATATTTACAAAAAAAGTTTTATGAAGAAAATAATGGATATAGTTTCTTATATTTTATTTTATACTGGATAAAATCTAAAACGTTTTTTTTAAATTTTGTTTTTTGGAAAATTAAAAAAAAAAAAAGTATACAATCATCGTTTTATAAAGGAAATAATAATCACACTCTAATTAAAGAAGATATAATTGCAATTTATGTGTTTAGAAAGCAATAGAAATTAAGTATTATAAATAATAACAGTAAAAATAACACACACACACATATATATATATATATATATATATATATATATATATATATATATATATAATATATATATATATATATATATATAAACATATATAAATAATAAACAGTAAAAATAATTGTAAAACAATTCTAAACTTCATTCATAAAAATATAAACTTGCGTACGTCAACAAAAATTATGTACGAAGTACGAGGCTGGTCGATCTTCATACCTCGTACATTACGTCATAACCTCGCAAGATAGCTGATCGATCAGCTGATGCGAAAGCGAGTTTTTCCATTTCGGCTCTCAGAATTTCTCGTTTTTCAGCGGAATCTCTGCGATTGTTCATTTAAAACTGATCAAGAGTACATAAGAACACTTGATACTTACTGTATGCAGTTAAACAGTTCTTTTTATATGTTTTATTTATTTTTTCTTTTATGCGATATTACCATCAGCTCATGTCTAGTAGAGCGTCTATTAAGAGAATTCGTTTGTCTTTAAGCTCGACACCTCGTTCTTCGCCTGTCAAACAAAAGCCTCGCCAATCTCGTCAAACACATCCAATGACCCCTCTTAGCTCCGGAGAATGTGAAAGTACATAATTACAAGAGAAAATTGAAGAACCACAGACTCAGCCAGGTACATCATCACAAGAGACAACTGAAGAATCTCCCTTTTTTACCCCCAATCCCTATCAGATGCTTCAGAATGATATAGAGGTAATGGAATCCGCTCCGATACCAAGAGAACCCCGTCCTCCAACGATATTCGTTAAGAACATAAAAAATTTCCAGTTACTATACTCTCAACTAAATAAAATAACTGGCTCTAGAAGCCACTCATGTGTACACAGAACAAAGGACACTAAGATACCACCAAATACAGCTGAAACATATAGAAACATTGTGAAATATCTCACTGAAACCATAGCCGATTTTCATACTTATCAATTAAGGCAAGAGCGAGCGTTAAGAGTGGTTATAAGAAATCTAAATCCCTCAACACCAACAGAGGAAATAGAAGAAGAACTAAAAATTTAGGTGTTACAGTGTGCCAGGTTACAAATGTTCTGAAGGAGAGCAGGGAACAACCAGGAGTAAAAGTTCCTCTATCCTCATTTTTCGTGGACTTGGAGCCAACTCAAGGAATCGAAAAAATATACGAAATAAGAAGAATGTACTATACAAGTGTGATAGTAGAGAAGCCATATCCTAATAGGGAAATCGTCCAGTGCCATAACTGCTAAGCATATGGCCAGACCAAGACTTACTGCCATCATTTGCCGCGTTGTGTAAAATGTGGAGAGCAGCACAAATCCGGTGAGTGCATAAAACCGAAGAGAGATCCTGCCTTCAAGGACATCCAGCGAGCTACAGAGGCTGTCAGATATATAAGAATATCAGGTCAAGATATAAAAAATCTCGGAACAAAGAAGAAGCAGAAAGATCAAGAGGAGAACCTACCGGAACAAAAAGAGAACCTTCCAAATTAGTAGACCCAACGGTATCTTTTGCACATTACTTAATTACCGAAAAACCCTTAAATGACTTCCAATAAACCTATATCCATCTCCTATGGAATGCAAATGGTGACAGAAATCATACAGACGAACTGTCTGCTTTATTACTTGACAAGAACATTGACGTGGCACTAATTACAGAAACTCGACTAACCACTAAACAGCACTTCAATATACCACAATACCTGACATATCGTACTGACCACCCTGACGGAAAAGCACATGCCGGTACTGCTGTAATTGTACACCAATCCCTCTCCCATCACCTACTCCCATTACCAATACCATGATTTCCTACAGTCCACCGCTATCGTGATAAAAACCTTCTCCTTTCCGGTCACTCTTGCATCAGCGTATTGCCCTCCTAACCGATCCATATCCAATGCCCAATTCAGTTCTCTCCTCGACTCCTTAGGACATCACTTCATCTTGGGTGCAGACCTAAATGCCAAACACCAACAATGGGGTTCCAGAAACACGAATTCTCGTGGCCGAACCCTGCTGTCTGCACTCAATTCCCAACGTTTTCACCTCCTTTCTCCCAACTCTCCTACCTACTGGCCCACAGATCCCAACCGTAATCCTGATCTTCTTGATTTCTTTATCCACAGCGGCTTAAGTCCCCTCAATTGTTCCATTACACACTCTAAATGAACTTTCCTCTGACCATAGTCCTCTAATCCTTAATGTTTCACTTGAACCTGTTCCCAAACCTTCTCCACCGTCATTCATTAGGGGCCCAGTTTACTGGGACC